TTTTCTAACTAATATGTACTATTTAAAAGAAGTTTTACCTCTTTTGTAGATTGAACGTTGATTTAAAATAATTAAGTGTTTCTTCCAAATTTTTTAATAGATCTTGTGTAGAAATAAGACTTACTACTGATTTTATAGAAAATAATGTTGTTGAAAGTAATCGTTCAAAATTAACTTTTGTATCATTATTTGTGTTTGATATTATTGATGAATCTTTATCATTCTCTAAAACAAAAAAACAAATGAATTCATTCAGACAAGACATGATCCAATACATTCTTCAAATCTAAAACTTTAGAACTCCTTTCTTCTACGAAAGTTGAAATATCAATTATAGAAAATGATCTTCTGCCCAACAAAAATGATGATTGTGAAGTTATTTGCAATAGTTCAAGAACATTAATAAAATAATTCAATTTTTGAATAACTTGAATCATTTGTGCTACTTCAAAAACATTTTTTCATTTGTTAAGATTTGATAAATCTTCAAAAAATTAAATTATTATTATCGAGTAATAATTGTAAATTATTAAGATCATTTCATATAAATAGATGTATAACTAAACAAAGTTTATCATATTGATTTTGAAAAAAAATGATCGAATTGTTGTTGATCCTAAAACATTTGAAAGAGCATAAATACCTTCTAAACATTCAACTTATATAAAAGACAAAAATAACAAACAATTTATATTCGAGTGGATGTTTGAGCTAAACAATGAAATATTAATGTTGGTAAGCATGATATTGTTTCACATTACACCCCATCATTGAATATAATTACAGAAGTATTTGTTTGTTGTAATGAATAATGAATTTTATGCATCCATTGACAGGAAGAATTGATCCATTTAGGTAAATAATGTATTGACCATTGATATACTAAAAAAATGAATTGTGATCAATAAACGTTAAAATCAAAAAGTAGCTAGTAACTAACTTAATACAATAAAATCGACTGATGCATTCAACTTCAAAAATAAAACTACCTAGTTAACTAACATCTCTACAATTGACATACTTAGCAAAAGTTAAAGTAGGTACTGGACGAAAACTTGTATCATTATCAGTAAGAAATAGAAAGATAATGTCAATACAATGATCAAGTCATGATCGATTCTAAAAATAAAAGTAAAACAAAAAAAACCAAGATATTGTTTTTATCTTCTATATATGATTAGTTTTAATTTACTGTTTTTTTTATCTGTTATTCTTGTTGTTCAAGATAAATTAGTATTCAAGAAAATCAATATTCCGCACAATTTGAGCTAGAGCAACCTATTTTATACACATAAACAGTTTATTGTAATCATAAGTTTCATTTGTCTACTTTAGCCAGAATATAAGAACTTGTACTATGTTGAGTAGAATCTTCTAATAATTTAATTCCTATGATTGTAAATGTATAACATGTGCATTATTATCCTAAAGACATAATCGAAATGTAGAGTGTAATTCTGCTAATATACCTAATTGAATATATTTAAAAACAAAAAGAAAAAATATTTTTATCAAAAACAAGAGATGATTTAATATTCTAATCTAACCTTGAACTATCTTGTGAATCAATTGATACAAATGAATATTCATTAATAAAAGAATTATTAAATGAATTTGATAATGATAATAGTCTTAGAAGATGAATTGTTCTTTTTAATTAATGTAGCAAGGAAAGAAATTTGCATATGTATCACATAAATGTAGGTCGTCTACCTCGATGTTCGATAGATTTTAATGCATTACAAGTCATATAGAGATAAGAATTTCAAATCAATTACAAAATTTTTATTTAATCAGAAATCTTCAAAGATTAAAGAAAAACTCATTCGAGAATACAATTGATTTCATATCATAATGAAAAACTGAACATCTCTTTCGTACCAGATATTTACAAAATTCGTACTTTAGCTTCGAACTTTGTTTTTGAGGTAATTATGTGATTGTATAATTTCAATCTCTGACATATACATGCAGCTTCTGGACTCTAAAACTTTTGTATGTCTAACCTACTTAGTAAAGTGTTTTACTTAATATATTTTCGAGCCTGATAATGTTCTAGTCTTTTGTTGGTTTCAAAAAGATTAAAATTTCATATCGTTTTGTTTCAACAATTCAATAGTAAAATCTTCATATCTATCAGATAACTTTCACCAAAACTTTGGGACCATAACCAATTGAAGCCACGTTAACTAAACTCTACTACAAGCTCTTTCATCAGATTTATCCTATTCATCTGAGTCCTCCTACTGTTACAACATTGGAAATAATTTTGGATTATAAAATAAATGTATTTTACTGAACTGAAACTTTACAAAACAAAAGTCTCAAACAAGCATTAAACATACTTACAGTAGGATAATCAAATTATTGATAAATGTGATAGATATGTTAGTGTAGCACATTGAGTAAATGTCTAATTGGGAAAAAAAACATAATTGATTAACAAGTTTAGCAACTGATGTTTGTTTTTCATTATTAATCATTGATTTTGAATATAATTCATCATTCATTTTATATACTAAAATATCATGTTGTTTATTAATTTCAATAAATCAACGTTGATATGTTGAATAATCTATTATTTTAGAAAAAAAAGAACTTGTTGTTCTCTGTTCACAATATTTACCTTTGTTTAATGTGTGACTAATACAAGTTACTTCTATAGATCCAATTTAAATTGAAATTAATAACTGATTAAAATCAAATAAATTTAAATATAATTTCATGTGTTTCCAATGAATTTTATATTACATTATGATCTTTTATGTTGTAAACAAATATAAAATATCATATCAACATATTAAAAAATAAAGATTTACATAGAAAATAAAATCATTCATTATTTATCAAATACTGATTGAAAGATGTTGTTCATTTGTACCAATATTTCTAGTTCTTGTTATTGATCGTTGACTTTTTCTTGATGATGATTGAAATTTTTTGATATTTAATTTAAGATAACCAATTATTAAAATTTTATTATGATTTTGATTATAATGCTCAAATAATTGATCTGTTAAAATAAAAGACAAATTATAATTAATTGAAATAATTATTTGAAAGAAAACTTCCCAATTACATTTATCATTAGAAAACGTGCTATAATCATAGGATAACATATTGACTGAATAGGACATGAGAGGTTCCTGAAAATAATTTATTATTAATATTAGGAAAAAAAAAGAAAAATTCATTCTCACTCGACTTCATACCTTAACTATAACGATTGTCAGTGAATCAACTATGACTAATTTATTTCATTTCTCATTGATATTTAATGATAAATAAAATTTTATTATTTTTACTGCAAATGATGGACAGTTTCTCAATCGGTATTTCGTCAAATAGTATGAGACTACCTATTCTACGTTATATGAAAAATATCATCTCCTGCTCTAAGTTTTAACTAAAAATGGACTCAGAAGTTGTCGATTAACTAGAGCAATCGCATAACTTTTTTCTGATTACTTCTTTAGAAGAGGTTTCTTAGATGACAAGAATTTTCTCTTTTACTTACTTTGATTTTTTCATCATTAATTGATCAACCAAGAATATAAAAAATAAGTTCATAATATTCTGATAAAATGGTTGAATCTTTTTCGAATGTATTACATTTGCTGATTCGTCAAATCGCCATAGAACATCTAATTGAAATTGAAATGAAACAAACCTTTGAATGCTTTTTATGCAACATTAGGATTCTCTTTTATAATTCCATGTGATTCAATTTGAATTCTTGTTAAATTTGCTTCTTTTAAATCCTATTTTATACTTCATACAAAATTATTAAAAAAAGAATTTCTTTTATAATACTTTTACAATAGTCGTAACTGATTTGAAATTATTTTCAACTTTACCTCTAGATAAAAAAAAACAACGTTCGATAAAAGATAAAAACTAAATGATAAAACAAAAAAAGATTTAAATTATTTACTTAGTTATTAATGTTTCTCATGTTGTTGTTGAAAATAATTTTAAAACTTCAAGTGATTTACTTAGTTTATCCATTTTGTTTAATTTATATTCAATTCATTTATTTTAAAGCTAAATAAATGAATAAATAAGTTAAAACATTTTTTGATAATCATAATAACTGAATGAATAGTCGACGGAAAAAGTCTAACGTCGATTGAATATTCACTTTCATCAGTCGATGAACGAGAAACTATTCTATAAATCTTTATATTAGATCCATAATTGTGTACTCAAAAAGTGAGTACACTCTAGAATCGGTCAGTGTGTCCGGCCGTCCGGCCGTTAACACGATAACTTTCGAAAGGAGAGTCCGATCGCGATGAAATTTTCTACACAGTTCAGTCTTAACAATATCTCGGTCGAGTTCGAAGATGAGAAGGATTGGCCGAGCCCTTCCTGAGTTATTGCAAAAATACTCATTTTTCCCTGCACCTTCCCTATGGAAAGATCGACCCATCCCCACTTTCGTAAAAGACTTTTCCTATCATAGTCAACCAAAACCCCAACTATTATATACCATTCGATAGAGAATTTTACGAGCTACAAAATGGTATATAAAACATAAGGAAACAAGAAAGCCAACTCAGCTATTGCAAAGATAATTAATCAGAATTCGGTTCTGTTTTTGTCACGCTCTAATTGATCTACAAATAGAGCTCTATCTTTCGATCACAGAGATGATAGTTCGAGGTTTTCTGGGGTGGCGAACTCGAATCTGTGCTCTATTCGCCTCGAAATCCCATTGGTTGAACAGTAACCAATAGAAATCAAGTTATAGGAAAAATGACTTTCTTAGGGTAAACCAAGGTGAAGAGTTCAAATCTGAGCTGTATTCATCCCCAAATCCTATTGGTTGAGCAGTAGCCAATAGAAATCAAGTGTTTATAGATAAGGTTTGCCAGAATAATTTTTATATCCCCATATTCTAGAACGACTCATCTGTCTCATTCACTTTTTGAAGTACACATAACTCTCGGATTTAAATCCGAAGTTTCCGCATTTATTTTTACTGTAATTTATTATTTAAAAAAAATCAACTTCTGCACTTGATCTATTTGAACTTCTGTTTTATTATATTATATTCAATCAATATGATCGTAAAATAATATTTTTGTAAAAGGTTATGTAATAAGTAACAAAACTCATTAAATTTATATAAATTCCTTTTTCATTTTCTTCTTTCAATTATCTCTTATATATGTGTATATTACTAATCCAAGAGAATAGTCGATAATTTTTATTTTTTGTGTTCTTCTTTCGTTCAGTCATCACTCGTATAATATGATATTGAGTGCACGACATCTAATTTGTTCTTACACATTCAAGATGAAAAGGAAAATAAATTGAACATAACATGTGTAAAGACGACATAGATATCGCGCACTCAATATCACAGCATGAGTCAAAACAACCGGTTGTCATCATACACTGCGTATTAAAATTCCGTCGACGTCGTCTTTCTTCATGTCTTTTCGTTTCTCTTTCTTCTCGTTCCTCTTTCTTCTCGTTCTTCGTAACAGAAGAACAAAAAATTTAAAACAAATGGAGCTTTCGAGGGTGGCTCTAAAACAAAATGAACCTTCCCAGGGATATCCGACGTTCTGTTGGTAACCTGTACAAGCGTGTAGATGGTAGGCCTTCATAACATACA